CCCCCCCGGCCCCTCCTTTTTCCCCCAAATCCATCCACCTGCGTGTCTCCCTATTAGCCGTATCATCTGTATAATGACACAGAAACCGGAAAAGGGGAACATAAAAGCGGATAGGACAAAACAAAAGCTACCACAGACCCTGCTTCATCGAACTCTCTCTCTCGCACTCATCACGAGGCTGAAATCAACGCCGATGCCGGTCATCGTCAACAATCAACGGCATCACAGCGAGTCTTATCATCATCATCATCATCATCATCATCATCATCATCATTCTTTCCAATTACTATCGACATCATCATCATCATCATCATCATCCCATCCACATCGCCGTCATCGTCGCTCGGTACGACTATCGCCATCATCCTTCGTTTTTCCAAATACTCGTCATCATCATCATCATCGTCATTATCATCGTCATCATCATCATCATCATCATTATCATTGTCATTATCATTATCATCATCATCATCATCATCATCGCCTTTTGTCATCCGCGATTGCCACGATAACGACGATCAGCATGTAAGGCGGCCGTTCGTCCTCTTTTCTGATGGCCGTCAACGACATCGTCGTCAACAACGTACCGACCATCGTCGTCGTCATCATCCTCGGCCGCCGTCTTCTATATGCAGCACCATCGCTGCCGCCAGTATCACTACTGCAGCATATTTCATCGTTATCCTCGTCCCCATCAATCAACAGCCCTACAGCCATAATCAGTTTCCATAACAAACTCCCATTGCCATCATTACCATCATCATATAACATCTTTCATAACAAACTCCCTCCCATTAACATCATCAGCAACATCATCATCATCATCATCATCATCATCGACATCATCATCATCATCATCATCATATAACATCATCCACATCATGATCATCAATCATCATCATCATCATCATCATCAATCATCATCATCATCAATCATCATCATCAAGACCAGACGCAGCAGCCGCAACCGCCGTCATCATAGTCGTTATCATCGTTCGACACCATCGTCATCATCATGAACACCGCCATAGCCCTCTCCACGACCACCATCACCATCCTCACGGCTCTCGTCATCCCCAGCCATCCTCTCGCTCGCCGTCGTCACCCCACTACTATCATCATCATATCAATCGACTCCCCTAATTTTCATTCTCTTCACGGCCGCCATCATATCAATCGACTCCCCTAATTTTCATTCGCTCCACGTGGCAATCTTCAGCATCGCCGCCATCATCTGAACCAGCCGCCACTCCGCGATCGCCACGTCATCAGATTCATCACCGCCCTTCCTCCTCCTAACTCCACTCTCCCACTCTCCTCATCCACGCCCTGTTTCTCCTCCTTCCACCTCTCCTCCCTACTCCCTACGACTCTATACCCCCCCTATATTGTATAACTCTTAACCCCTACCGTCTTCACCCGAATAGAACGCCCGGTCATTATAGCTGTGTATATGTCGCAACTTTCAGTCTACATACAGCGATAATGACCGGGCGTTGTATTCGAGTGACGAGGGTAGTAGACCAGTAGAACTCTACCCTCTAGCACTACCCCCTAGTACATTACCCCCACTCCGAACATTACA